ACAGCATCTCGATTTGTCCTATACTGCCGGCGGTGCACTGTCGAGGTGGCAATTGGTATTTGCTGTTCCTCCACTTTCAGGAGTCCTACTGCAGATGGGTTCTCTAATAGTCCAGGCAAGGTGTTCAATTGCTTAATGCCCTCTGCCTCTACAGCACCTATTCTAAAATCCTACCTGAGTCCCTTTGGGTCTTTGTAATAGCCATTTCTAAGGAAGTCCATGCCCAGAATACACGGGGCCTCTGGGCCAGTCACAATGGGATGCTTCTGCCACTCATTTCCAGTCAGGCTCGCATCAGCTTCCACTAAAGTAAAGTTCTGTGATCCCCACCCACAAGATGATCCGAGAACTGGAGAGCCAAGGGGTGGTCAGCAAAACTCACTCACCCTTCAACAGCCCCATTTGGCCTGTGCACAAGTCTGACAGAGAATGGAGATTGACTGTGGACTATCGTGCATTGAATGAAGTGACTCCACCTCTGAGCGCTGCTGTGCCGGACATGCTGGAGCTCCAGTACGAGCTGGAGTCCAAAGCAGCGAAGTGGTACGCCACAATTGATATTGCTAATGCATTTTTCTCCATTCCCCTGGCAGCAGAATGCAGGCCTCAGTTTGCCTTCACCTGGAGGGGAGTGCAGTACACCTGGAACCGACTGCCCCAGGGGTGGAAGCACAGCCCCACCATCTGCCATGGACTGATCCAGGCTGCCCTGGAAAAGGGTGAGGCTCCAGAACATCTGCAGTACATCAATGACATCATTGTGTGGGGAACACAGCAGTGGAAGTATTTGAGAAAGGAGAAAAGATCATCCAGATTCTGCTGGAAGCCAGCTTTGCCATCAAGAAGAACAAAGTCAAAGGATCTGCTCGAGAGATCCAGTTCCTGGGAGTAAAGTGGCAAGACGGACGGCATCAGATTCCCACTGAGGTCATCAATAAGATCACTGCAATGTCTCCACCCACCAGCAAGAAGGAAACACAAGCTTTCCTAGGTGCCATAGTTTTTTGGAGGATGCATATTCCCGAGTACAGCCAGATCATGAGCTCTCTCTACCTGGTTACCTGCAAGAATGATTTCCACTGGGGCCCTGAGCAGCAAGAAGCCTTTACCCAGATCAAGCAGGAGATCACTCATGTGGTAGCCCTAGGACAGGACCAGATGTGAAGAATGTGCTTTACTCTGCAGCCGGGAGCCATGGTCTGTCCTGAAGACTTTGGCAGAAAGTGCCTGGGGAGACTCAAGGCCGACTGGCCGACTGGGATTCTGGAGCAAGTTACAGAGGGTCTGAAGCCAACTACACTCCCACAGAGAAGGAAATCTTAGCCACCTATGGAAGGGTTCAAGCCGCCTCAGAGGTGACTGTCTCGGAAGCACAACTCCTCCTGGCACCCCAACTACCAGTGCTGGGGTGGATGTTTAAAGGAAAGGCTCCTGCTACCCACCATGCAACTAACCCTACATGGTGCAAGTAGATTGCTCTCATCACACAGCGCACCCGTATTCAAAACCCAAATCACCCTGGGATTTTGGAGATCATTACAAACTGGCCAGAAGGTGAAAACTTTAGTCTCACTGATGAAGAAGAGCAGGAACAAGTGACACGGGCTGAAGAAGCTCCACCGTACTACCAACTGCCAGCAGAAGAAACCTGCTATGCTCTGTTCACTGATGGTTCCTGTCGCGTCGTAGGGATGAACCGGAAGTGGAAAGCAGCCGTATGGAGCCCCACACGACAGGTCGCAGAGGCCACTGAAGGAGAAGGTGGATCAAGCCAACTTGCTGAACTCAAAGCTGTTCAACTAGCCCTGGACATTGGTGAAAGAGAGAAGAGGCCGAAGCTCTACCTCTACACTGATTCATGGATGGTAGCCAATGCTCTGTGGGATCACTGGAGAAATGGAAGAAGGCCAATTGGCAGAATAGGGGAAAACCAATCTGGGCTGCCGATGAGTGGAAAGACAGCGCTACCAGGGTAGAGAAACTGCCTGTGAGGGTCCACCATGTAGATGCCCATGTCCCCAAGAGTAGGGCTAATGAAGAGCACCGAAACAATGAACAGGTAGATCAGGCTGCAAAGATAGAGGGGTCAAAGATAGACTTAGATTGGCAAAACAAGGGAGAGTTGTTCCTAGCTCGATGGGCTCATGGATGCCTCAGGCCATCAGGGTAAAGATGCCACCTACAAGTGGGCACAAGACTGAGGGGTGGATCTAACCATGGACAGCATTTCTCAGGTTATCCATGACTATGAGATGTGTGCTGTGATGAAGCAGGCCAGGAGGTTGAAGCCCCTATGGTATGGTGGGTGTTGGTCCAAATATAGGGATGGGGAAGCCTGGCAGATTGACTACATCACACTGCCCCAAACCCGCCAAGGCAAGCGCTACGTGCTCACAATGGTAGAAGCTGCTATTGGATGACTGGAAACCTATCCTATGCCTCATGCCACTGCCCAGAACACCATCCTGGGACTTGAAAAGCAGGTCCTTTGGAGGCATGGCACCCCTGAGAGGATTGAGGCAGACAACAGGATTCATTTCAAGAATAACCTTATAAATATCTGGGCTAGGGAACACAACATTGAGTGGGTGTACCATATCCCTTATCATGCACTCATGCACCAGTGGCTGGGAAAGTGGAGAGGTACAATGGCCTGCTTAAAACCAGATTGAAGGCACTGGGTGGGGGGGACTTCAAAGAACTAGGAGATTAATTTAGCAAAGGTCACACGGTTAGTGAACACCTGAGGTTCCACTAACTGAGCAGGCCCTGCCCAATCTGAGCCCTTTAGAACAACAGATGGAGATAAGGTTCCAGTGGTACATGTGAGAGGTATGCTGGAAAAACAGTTTGGGTTAATTCTGCCTTCAGCAAAGACAATCCCATCTGTGGGGTTGTCTTTGCTCAAGGGACCAGGTTGCACCTGGTGGGGGATGCAAAAGTATAGAGAGACCCAGTGCATACCTTAAGGGGACCTTGTTTTAGGGTGAACTACCCATGACACTGTGCTTATATCTGTATCTGCATGTACATATGTATATAATTAAGGCAGTAGGTGTTTGTATAATATAATTAGTATAAAAATTTGATGTAACATTTTGATATGGGAAAAAATTTGGGGTGGATAATGTTGGGGGTTAGGTGTTCTTCCTTTTGTTCTGGCTCACCTATGGAATTTTTACCCATTAGTGGCACAGAAATCTGACTGCTGGTACTTGGTGGGTGCTTGAGAAACACAAAGAGTTCGGCTGGGCCCAGGGGGGAAGGCAGGCAGGGTAAAGGGAGGATGGGGGCAGCTGGGGCTGGCTGGTTTCTTCAGCTTCAGAGCAGGACTCTCCCTGGGAGCTGTTGTGGCTGGCAGAAGGGAATTCGCCATTACCCAGATGGAGCTGCTGCTTCTTCTTCTTCCTTCTTTGTTGTGGGGCCTTGCACCCCCTGTCCTGCTGGGACGTGTGGCAGTGCCAGGCACTGCCATGGAGCTGCTGATCCACCTCAGCCACAGGCCCAGGATCTCTGCTCATCCCTGCTGTTCCAGCCGAGTGTTCCTCAGAGCCCTGCAGGAGCACCGGGACTGACTGCCCGAGGGGTTTGTGAAGCAAAGCCTCTCCTCCATCCCTTCCCATCTCGGATGAGAAAGCTGTCACGAGGTCCCTGGTTCTGTTTTTCTGTTAACACTGTAGTTAGTGATGTTTGTGTGCCTCATTATACACACTAGTTAAGAACTGTTGTTCCTATCCCCAGATCTCTGCCTGAGAGCCCCTTGATTTCAAAATCATAATTCGGAGCCAGGCTCCTGCCCTCCCCAGCAGACACCTGTCTTCTAAACCGGGACAACAGGATTCTTTTTTCTGCTTCCATCTATTCTTGTGCAGCAAAAACTGATACCTGTTAATGAATACAAAAACTTCTATGTAAACTCACACAGTGCAGAGAAGGATCAGGGCATTCTTCTAGAATATCCTGACCTATCTGCAGCTACCAAACTAATATAAAACGTATGGCACATGGGAAGGTGAAATTAGGGAACAAGTGAATGGGGTGGGAACACACTTGTTAGACGTGTATGTTTAACAAATAAACATCAGCAGAACACCATATATCGAAAATGCCCTTGCCAATTTTGCAGTATCCACAGGGAGGGATCTCTGGCAGTGGGCTCAAGAACCAGGGTCATCTCTGTGGTTTTTTAGAAAAATATGTGTCTAACACAAATGGACCTCAGAACAGGTTCCCAGACTATAACATATTTCAAGCTTTAATTAGTTTAATTTAACTGAAGATAAAAGCCACCTTCACCAAAAGGGATGTAATTTAGATGGAAGATAGTGTACTATATAGGAGCAAGTAAAAACATCTCCAGTAATGAGAGAACTTAAAGCACTGGCTGAGAGTGAAGTTGAGTGGGTGTTCTTCTAAAAACCAACAACAGCAAGGTCCTAGTGGTATCCAACATTTTCACCCTGAAGGTGTGTAGGCATGAGCTTTTGTTTTTCCTCTCAGTTTAATAAACACTCCAGCAGAAATTTTGTGAACAGTTTTCTTTCCAAGGACAAATTTGCTATTGTAGATTCACTCTTTATGTACTGATCCATACCCTCGAATGCAAAATTGCAGATTTCAGTTTTATATTTATGTAGTCATATCTGCCTCAGACTGGAGAAGAAAGAACATCATTCCTGGAAACACTGTATAATACAACTTGAAGAGCCAGATACAGCCATATTGATTTGTTTGCTGTTGAGCTACTGGGTTTTTTTAACAGGATACTTTTAAGAGAACCATTTGTACACCTAGAAAATTCCAGTGAAACAGTATTATAATAACAATTTCCATGTGGAAAAATAAAAATCTCTATTTTATATGAGAAAAAATTTATTAGTGATTATATTTTTGTTGCTTCCAACTCTTAGAGATACTCTCAAAATGGAACCTCTTGCTGATCTTTCCTAAACTGTATGTCTGAACAGTGAACTGTATATCTGAACTGTGAATCATTACATGAGTCAAACAGTAGTTACAGCAGGAAAAGGTATGACACTTGAATAGCAGTAATGTTTTGGTATCTACACAGTCCAGCAACACTGACCTTCAAAATCCAGCATAGATCCATAACACAGGGACTTCTAAGAAACAGTACTTTTCTGTACTTTTCCGTAGAAACAACAAGACAGAAAGCAGAAATACAAATTCTTGTAATACATCAGGGACCTTCTTTTGGTCCTAGACACTTATTTTCCACTTTATACCTGCCTCCTTCCTCCTTCCCTTAAACCACAAGAAGCCACGTAGGATAAGCCATGGGAAACAAAATTTAGCAGAAGGTACCAGTATGCTACAGCATAAAATGTTCTGACAGTCCAAGGCCTAAGACATACAGCAAAAAATGTTGTGACCACTGGTTACTACACTGCTCCTTACACGTTTTTTCCCACATGTAAAAACACATCATCTTCCTCAAGTAAAATTCTTATTATTTGATTCTTTCAGACCCCCCAATATTACTCCTGTAATATTACTCCTGTACCTTAAATAGATGGACAGTAGAGGGTTACAGTAATTTTCCGTAATTTTCCATGTTAACATATTACTGATGAGACTCCTTTATTCTCCCTTCATTTTCCCTTCCTAATTGGAAATGCAATTTCCAATTATATACACTAGCTGGATCCCAAACAAACTGTAAGCTGCAAGGAGAAAAGTTCCCTCTTTTTCAGGATTAAGCACAAAACAATGCTAACATAGCAGAGCATTTTTATTTTTATTTATTCTAGTATGTTTTAAAGAACATTTTTCTCAACAAAAATGTGCCTGGTACTATTAACTGCAAGGAGAAAATCTTGCACAGTGCATTCCTTTTGTGATGTTGCTTCATAGAAGGAAGAGAGATCATAAACATCATTAACTCACAGCAAATGGTCACCTCTTCAAGTTAGCACAGGGACAGACAACCTGACAAGAAAGAGTAAAGCATAAGTTTATCAGTTTCCTCAACTGCATGGAATCAAAGCACTTGCTTTGCATTTAAAAAAATAAACAAAACCCCTCCCAAACCACAACAAACAAATGCACAAAAATGTAAACCCCATGCAGGAGAACCAAACTACATTTCTTACAGAAGTTCAACAGCTTTAACTATCAATTAGGTGACCTCTGCTTTCTGCTGAACAGTCCTATGTAAAGTAGTTTAGGTAATCATGTGCAAAAGGGAAACAGGACATAGCTTGAAGCTAAAAGCACACTAGCTTACCAAAACAATTACAATATCTCTTTTCCCTTCTGTGGGAAACAACTGGTCCTAAACCCAAATTATTTGTAAAGAGATGCTACCATTTCAGCCATGTATACAAGATCTTCATTCACAGTCTGAGAATCTTCACTGACAATACTGAATGTCAACGCTCCGATTCAAAGACATACTGCCAGCTATTACCAAAATTTCCTTTAAAGAGGGTATGCAAAAATATACATGGTTAAATGATATCTGTAAACTGACTTTCTGAAATGACCTGTTGTCCTGAGTTGCCCATGTAACACAAGATTAAGTCAGCTACACTCAGGCTTTTCCCACAGCATGTCATCATAATCAACCAGACACAGAACTTCTTTACTCTTTGCTCACCAGATATTTAGATTAGATGAAGAGAAATGAAACAACGATACTGAAAGGGCTGAGTAGGAACACCAGCCCCTCCTGTCAAGAAAAAGAAAAAATAATTTATTTTTAAGGAAAAAAATATAATCATAGTGTCAGTAAAATTCATCTGTAGGAAGTCACTAAAACAAGTCTACAAATATGTAAAGGTGGAACTAAACTTTTCATAACACATCCATAGGAATAAGGTGTTTTTTTTTAAAGATACCAAGCTTTACTCTTCAGAGTAAAAATCTTTAGAAGACCAAGAATAGGCTTCTTGCCAACACAGAATGGAGATTATGGCACTGGCTCCAAAATTAGTTCCTCTGTAGAACTGTCAGGATCAAAGTACTGGGAAAGATGGATGTTAGCACTAACCCATTATGCTCATTCCTGAACAAGCCTTCCTACAGTGCAACCAATAGTGTATTTCAAAATACTATTTTTAACAGGGTGTCAAGTCCTAACATTCCCCACTCCATTCAATGTATCAGTTGTACCACTGACACTGTACAACACAGTCTGAGTCTCAAATTTTGGCAAAGGTTTCAGAAGAGCAAGGTATGATACCTGGTGACAGGTATTTAAGTAGGAAAAAGTGTCTAAAACTGCTGAAGTTCTTAGACTTCTCAAAGGAACTGTAACATGGCTTTCTCTATCTCCTAAGAGTAAGTTAGCAACTGTCCTGATGCAGAAGTCCATTTAGATCTGGAAAGCAGGTAACTCTTTAAAACTTTTATACCTAGAACTGGAAGATAGCACCACAAAAAGAAGGAAAACAAAAAAAATCTCGGTTGGGGGATATTAACAGTAGAAAGGCAGTTAGCAAATGCTTTGCTGTTTCATTTTAATGGCCAGCTATAGAACAAATTTTTACCAATTTCTGCCTTAAAACATTAAGACTAGAATTCAAAAATACAAATAAGTGTTAGCTTGAGACTGAAGATCTCATTTGCTAGAGCTGTAGAAAATCCACCATCTTCCACTGGTTCCACTAAAATGTGAAGTCTTTGGAAAACTCAAGAATGTTGAATGAAACACAGCAACAACCATAAAAGAACTGATAAATCTCACCCTGTCCACCCTAAGCCTCCCACCTACCACCCAGCAGGCCTAGTTGTGTTTAATAAAAAAGAAACACAGTACTTGACAGATGACACCTATATATTTTCCTGCAAAGGCGTGAACAGACTCCAAGCAGTGTAATTTATCTGAAATTACCTTAATCCCAGGCATGCTTTTTTTAATGTGTTTATGACCACAAAGACCTTACTTTTCTTTATGGAACAATTATAAACCTTCACATTAAAGTACAAGCTTCTGGGCTGGATATTGTCAAAAGGTTTCCATGATCATCCTATTTTCTTTGGGTTTCACACAACACACATGATCTATGTATAATTTTTCTGGAGAAGCATCACAAATCTGTTGACCTGCTTCTAAAAATATTTAAAGACACAGATTTTAAATGGTGTAAAACAACAGTCCCAAGACAGGAAACTGTCAAAATACGCTTTCCAAAAAAACCTGAAAGCATGAAACTGTCACCATAAGATAAAAAAGCCAAACATGTGATCTGCAATACTTTGCCTGACCAAGAATTTAATGGGTTAGAAATTTCATAGGTGAGATGGGCATAACATACAAGAGGTGCTGAAGAGCATCCAAGGAGCAACAAAGCTGGTGAAGGGTCTGGAGCATGAATTTTATGAGGAGCAGCAGAGTTGACTGGGGTTGTTTAGCCTGGAAATAAGGAGGCTGAAGGGAATATTCATGGATATCTACAACTGCCTGAAAGGAGGCTGTAGTGAGGTGGGGATTGGTCTCTTCTCACACGTAATAATAGATAGGATGACAAGAAACAGCCTCAAGTTGCACTAGGAAGGTTTAGATTGGATATTTGGAAAACTTTCTTCACAGAAAGAGTTGTCAAGCATTGGAACAGGCTGCCCAGAGAAGCAGTGGAGTCACCATCCCTGGCGGTATTTCGAAGAAGCATGGATGTGGCATTTAGGGATGGACTTGGCAGTGCCAGGTTAATGGCTGGACTCAATGCTAGAGGTCATTTCCATCCTAACTGATGCTATAGTAATGTAGGCATGCTAAAACCTAGTTTTAAGAATTTAGTTTCCTCTGAATAAACAGTCTGTACTTTCCCCTAATTTATCACTCAACAGTTAATACTGTCATTAACCCTCACATGTAATAATATGCAGGAGTCCACAGACCAGGAAGAGTCTGGTTTTAAGCAATAAATTCCAAGAACCCACACTAACAAAAATTGCAAGAGGCCTCAAACCCTGTGTGAAGCATCCTCAGAAGCCAGGTAGGTTTTAAGATGAGTTAATTCATGGATAGGGAAAGTTGTTTCATTTGCACTTCCGTTTCTACTTTTTAGCAATTTCACTAAAAGCGAAGAAGCATCTGCTTCACCTTCCTTGTCTGTAACTTGTACATTCTTTAATTCTCTACATTCTCTGCTGCAATCCTTTGTACTTCAAGGATCCCTGCCCTCCTGCCCAAACACAAACCTTCCCCCTGAAACGATGACTTGGAAAATACATTTTAAGAAGGCATAATCTCAAAGAATGAAAAATGATAGGCTCATAAAGAGAATCTTTAGACTGGCCCAATTCTGAATGCATTGGTTACTTTGCTGCCCTCTAGGGATTATGTTCAGAAACAAAAATTACAAATAAGGAAGGATATACAGAAGAAAGGAGACAACATAAAGCAAGGAGGAGTTGTGGATGCCCTATCCCTGGAAGTGTCCAAGGCCAGGTTGGATGGGGCTCTGAGAAACCTGATCTAGTGAATGGCATTTTTGCCCTTGGCAAGGCTTTGGAACCAGATTATCTTTAAGGTCCCTTCCAACCCTACCCATGCTTATATTCTATAAGCTAATATTAATCTAACTCCTTATGCATAGTTTCTATAACAAACGCAGGACTAATCTCACAAACAACTATTTGATTATCATATCACATCTAATTCAGAAGCACACATATACTGAATGTGACAGAGGAACTGTGGAGAGAAGGATAAAATACAAACAAACAAAAAGATTGAAACTGAAGACAAGAGAAGGATAAGACAAGAGTCCAAGAGAAGAAATAGTCCAAAGCAAGCAAACTTCCAGACTGCATGAGGAAAAAAAAAAAATCATTGCATGCATCTGCTAATATCTACGTGCTTGACTAAGTGAACCTATGCCCTTTTATTGTAACTTCAGAAATGCAGTTTCATCAGCAGCCGTGCAAGTAACAGAAACAGAAAAGGTCAAGTTCTTCAGACAATTCTCCTGCAAACCATGCTACAAGGAATCTTTCTTCCTTTCAGGTGGCTACTTCCATGACACCTGTAAGAACTTAGCCTTCCTGAAAGCTGTAACAGCTAAAACTTCCAGTAGCTTTTATCAGTAGTTAAGAACGGTCAGACAAGTGCAGTCATTGTGGTGCATGTGTGCCCAAATTTCACATCCATAGAAAATAAAGATAAAAAGCCTCAAATAGATGGCCTTAGGAGAACTAAAACAAATCCAAATTTCCTGCAATTTTTCGTAATGATTTTGTGCCTTAAAAGGACAAACATTGGTTCAAGATTTTCCTGTGGCATTTCAGTGGCTTCTTATTATGAGTTTTTAACTGTACATTAAACATATTAATTAAGTAATTACACATTAATTTAATTAAATGTACATTTTAAAATGTACATTAAACTGTGGGACTGCAAATCCTCGATTGCTGAGGCACTTGAAGTCAACTACTGTTGTTCCTACCTTCTCCTTGCTAATCATTCTCTCCAGCTTTTGAAAAACAGCAAGCATAAAGGAGTCACAGCTTGTTTACTCCCATTTGTGACAGTCATCTCCCAAAAACTGTCACAAAAATAGTTCTTCAAAGACCACAAAATTCCCAAACCAGGAAAAGTCTTGACAATATTTTCCTGACATATTCTACGAAGCACACATACCCCAAAGATTTTTCAGAAGTATATAATTTGACCATAATGGGCTGCTTTCAAAGCAAGTATCAAGAAACAGCAAACACGACTAACTACATTACATTACAATCCTACTATAAGGCACTATGAAAACTTAGTATCCTTAAGTATGGACACAAGTAATCATCTCCCCTTTATCTCGCTGTAAGAAAGCAGGTGCACTGTTCCTGCTAGTGCTCTTCAATCGATCAATCAATCAATCAGCTTGGGGTAGACAGTCACCAGACTTCCCAAACTCAACCAGGGCAGAGTTTGGGAAGAACTGACATTCTTGGGATGGGGATTGGAATTGGGAAGATATGACAAAGGGTAATGGATCGTGTCAAACACTCTTAGTTGGAATATGAGACTTTGTTTGATATACAGAAATTTAGGTTTATACTTCCCCCCCCCAACATCTGGAAATCAGACTGACAAATTATCACTGCATCATTAAGAATACCTATAAACACATATTAAAACGCAGCCACAAGAATATTAAATGCATTTGCATAGAACAAACCGGACGAACAATGCATCTCCAGATTAAGTAGCAAGACTGTTGTCACATTGTAACTCAGCCTCGGTCCGGAGGCCGTCTCGGCCTTTTTTTACCTCAAAAAACCTGAATATTTAAGATAAACTAGATAGTAACACCGCAGCATTTAGTAACGCTCCGGAATTGCACTGAACAGGTAAATAAATCGATAACTTCTTGAATTTTGAAAGAAAAACCCGCATGGGTTCACACATGGTGTGATTTCAGCGATGTGACAGCACCGGCTTTCCCCGCCGGGGCCCGGCCCGCGCCTCCTGTCCCCGCTCGGCCCCGGCTCCTCCCGCCCCTCACCGCGGCACCACCGGCGGCGGCGACACC